TATCTAGTTTTGACCTGAGGTTAAGAGAATTCTAAAATCTTCAAGTTCTATGTAATATTAAAACAGATAACCAAATGACTTCATTGAACTGAATTTTAAGATATATGCTAAGCAATTTAGGTCTACTCACTGGATAGTATTCAAATCAATTTTTCCCCACTATTGGTTTGAGCAAATCACCTCATTTCTTCCTGCCTCAGTTTGTTTGTTGGTAAAACAGGAATATGGTACTTACCTTACTGAGCCTTACAAGGATTAAATAAGATAATAAAAGTAAAATGATTAGCCCAGGCCTGTCTCAGTAATCATTCAGCACATGTTAACTCTGTTCACTTGTGTATCACTGCCAACAAAACTGTCTCCCTCCTATTTGGAACCTTTCCTGTACTCTATCATCCTCGGTTATATACCTTTGTCACTGGTTTGGGAAAATCTTGATATTGGTGGCTTGGTGATTTCTAACATGTGCTATTAATTTGAGTTTTTTCTCAACACATACATTCTGTAAGCTGGAAGGAGAAAGTGCCTTGAGATTTCTCACCAGAGGGGCAGTCTGCGGGAACACCGCTGAAAACCAGAAAGCAAGAAAGGGAGGCTCAACCTGGACCAGTCCATGTGGATTTCATTAACACCAGGTAACATACTCACAGTCTAATAAGTGCTCCCTCTGAGGACATAAGCTAGCATACAGCCCAGCTTTGATTTCAGGCTACCCGGGCATGAGGTCAATGAGAAAATTAATACAATCTCTACCAGACCGAATGAGTTTCTGTTCTCATGGAAGCAACATCATTCCAGTGCTGTGGATTAAGGTGGTGCACCTTTTATCCCAAGCTTTCCTTGAAACAAATGTGGGTCTTCTCAACTTAATGAATTTACTTATGTACAAAGTTTAATGAGGACATAAGAGATAAATGTAATTATTAATCAAAAAATGAGATTGGATAAATCCTCAATTCTGAAAAGTTTAAGACTCATATTATGTTGTTTGTGAAGAACCCACAGATGTTTCAGAAAAAGTCAAGAACATTTAAGAATTGTTCCTTCCTCTTGACTTTTCTTGCTTTCAGAGAACATCCGGGGTCCCAGCTCAGGCAGGAATACCAGTAGGATGTATTGACCAATTAATATTTGTGTGTGTGAGTGTGTGTGCACATGCTCGCTCCCTCTCCTCATTCTCCTCGTAAATAAACCTTTTATTAACTTAAAAAAAGGAATCATTTCTCCCCTCTCTACTGCTATAGTCCATCTACTCTAATTAGTTAATTAGGTAAAGGCTAACTATAACTCTGTAACTAATGTGGCACTATATTGAAATGTAAAATTGATAGATTTATAATAAAGCCTTTTATAGTTTTAACCCTTTCTTATGACCCCTGAGGTGATATATACATTTTCGCATGCATTTAACTTTTTAGTTTTCCCTTACTTAATGTGATTCTTGCTTTTTCTAGGCTATGCATCACACATTAAAATAATTGAGTTCATTAAAGTTAGTGTGTTGACAATAAGAT